ACCACGGGCCGAGAGTCTTTGCTAGATTTTGGCATTTAGCAACTGGCATACGGTTTAATGTGAAGTCAACAACAACAACAACAACAACCGACTAACCTCTGACTAACTTCCGTGATATATATTCCACTTAGACTAGAATGCTTGCGGTATCCATGACATGTGCATATTTATGTGTTTGTCTATTTACGCCACCGGTGGCGCAATTTCTCATATGCGCCACCGCTCTTATCTCCTCCCACAGAGCTTCAATTGGCACAAACTAAAAATTGTGGTGTAGCTATGACCCATAGCAATCATACAAGCCAACTTGAAGCAAAATCCATTCGGTCGTTGGAAAGTTATGCTCGAAAAAGGGGGCTCAGCGGCATCAAAAGGCGGGCACCAACCACATATTCCACCGTAACTCCGTGGCCAAAGCTCCAATCGACGTCAAACAAATTGCGCTGGTCGACGGACGTCCATAGCCATCGTTCAAGCCATCTGGGACGTCCATCCGACCAGTAGATGCCGAGATATGCCCTCCCACGGGGGTACAGTGCCACCGTAGGGCGGTGGCGCATATAAGCATATATATATATATTTATATGCGCCCCCTTTTTCGAGCATAACTTTCCAACGACCGAATGGATTTTGCTTCAAGTTGGCTTGTATGATTGCTATGGGTCATAGCTACACCACAATTTTTAGTTTGTGCCAATTGAAGCTCTGTGGGAGGAGATAAATGCGGTGGCGCATATAAGAAATTGCGCCACCGGTGGCGTAAATAGACAAACCCCATATTTAATAGTTGGTGTATGTAGACTACATCTATCTATCTATTATGTCATCTACCGTTCACCTGCGAAAAACAGGCAGGGATATTATGTACGTGCTTGTAGTGGCACACCGCACAACAAACGTACGCAAACTCTCTATCTACCGTTCACCTGTATGTGTAGAAGTAAGTGTGTAGACTATAGGCTGCGGCAGCATCTATCTTCAATAATAATACTATATATACAGGGTCGTTGACAGTTTCTTCTGTGATATGTGCATTCTGCATGTATGTTCCAAAACTCAGAGCACAAGCCACAGCTTTGGCGTACCACAACAACAACAACAACAACAACAACAACAACAATTCCTTCCTACAGCAGCAGCATAGACTTGTCCTTGCCACTTGGAGGGTGTGACACTGCTGCTAGTGTGTGTATTTCAGGCATATAATATACGTTGCCGTGTGCACTATGTGAAGATACACGATGCACGTGAGGACTTGGAAGCAATTGCTTCATTCAGTTATAATAGCGTTGCTTACGTGGAGAAGGTGACGACAGCAGCAGCAGTCTGTCGAGCTCTAGTTGACACCACGCGGCACAATTGCAATAAAACCCGCAGTCGGTGCTACCACACACCGGTCGCCCCGGTGGTCTATCTAGTGGGTAGCCTCGCAGCCTGCTAAGGGCCAGGTCGTGGGTTCGAGTCCCCGCAGAGTGAGTTTTTTTCTCACTAAATAAATCCTGGCCTCCGTTGGAAGCGGCGCGCTTCAAAGGTCGTTGTTAGCAAACTTGATCGACTTCGTAAATCGCGAGGGAAGGGATTGCTGTACCCTTCTCGCGATAAAAATATCTCAGGCAGGAACCGAAGGAGGGGGTCCAACCCCCCCCTCCTATGTGACCCCGGTTGGGTCGTCTAGCTAGTAGAAGTGGAGGATAGGGGCCAGAGGGGCAGACGACAGAGTCCAATGATGGGAGAAAGAAAAAAAATGTATCAGCACTCTATTNGAAAAAAAATGTATCAACAACAACGTGGTGGTCGCGGTCATGGCTATTTAGTAGTCTAATGAGTTGACGTACTTCAAAATCTCGTCCAATGACCAGCGTGATTATTTGAGGTGAAGTCCCTACCGTAGACGCGCCCGGTCTTACTTCACGGTGCTGTAACTCGGCTCGCCCTTGGAGTCTCGAGCTCGCGACAGGGGCGCTATGATCGTGAGAGTGGCACGCCCACCACGTCGGCGAAGACGACCGAAAAAAATGTTTAAACCCCATTTAAAAACAATTAAACCGATTACCTCACCGCAACGTCTAGCTCAATGAATGAAAGAGTGGTTCATGCATTCACCGTGCTGTAACTCCACTCCTTTGGCGTTTCGAGCTCGCGACAGGGGCGTTGTGATCCATAGACTGGCCAGCTGCAGCGGGCAACAGCCGGCGTAAAAAAAAGTCTCAAGGCGACCGCGAACTGATGCACCGAAAAAAAAAGTCTTGCTTTTACAGCAGTGCAACAACAGTGGTTGAACTCTTGCGTCTCAGGCTTCCGACATGATGGTAGTTAAGTCTATACACGTACAAGCAGTAGATACGTCAGTTTGGTGTAAGAGTCTAAAGCCTAGACGTCCGTCCGCCGGAAGGAAGGTGTATGCATATGTCCATGTCAATGCATCGAATTTCGTCGGAGTGCATCTAGGCAGAAAAATCACAATTTAGGCTCTACGAGCGACCCAAGCTCTTACCGAGCGAGCTCAATGGAAACCGTTCGTTTTGCCTACAGCGTCATTGCACATTGCATCCTGACCATTGGGATCTCGTCAAATCAAAGGGGTTGACAGAGTCACATCCTCCCTGCGCCCCTTTTGCCGCTGGTATTGGATCGTCACTCCAGCCGATCCACGGTATCACGTGTGGCCGCCGCCACATCGACAGCTCACACATGTTTGGAATGGTCTCGGTGCACCCGTTTTTGGAAGAGTAAGTATCGTGGTCAGTCAACTACGCCATGATCTCTGAGTTCCACCTCTCTCAGTAGTACTAGAAACTGCTGTGTCCATCGAAATGTTGACGATCTAATTGAATCACTCTACGAGGTACGTCGCATCTCGCACCGTATATCCATTGCCTCAGATCGTAGCTATAATTTGCGACCACTAATCCGATTTATCCTCGCCGAACATCACCCCCCGGTAAACCGATTTCACGTGTTTCCTCTACAGGCTAGAAATAGAGCAGTCTCTACCCCTCATTATGCCGCAATCATCGACGCCTGCAGGTTTCTACCTCGCTCAAGCGACTGCTGCGACGGGTGCGCAAGGCGGCCGGGGGGTCGCTCAGCCTTTACCGTAGGCAACGGCAGCTGCACGCCGGTGACGATGTCGTAGGACCGCCTGCCGCAACCTTCTTCCCACAGGGCCTGAGCACGGACGCGGGGGTCCGACTTGGGGATCTTCTGTCTCATCCCAAGGATATTGATGAAGGTCTCGCTCCGCGCGTGCCCCATCGCGGAGGACTGCTGTCCGCGTGCCATGTTGTCGCCAATTCGGCTCCCCGCTGGAGGCACATCGGCGCCGCAGGCCTGTCTCGCGCCCTTTCTGGTCTGGGGTGCGATTGAAGCGACGAAAAATCAAGGAGGAACAACGTGCTCGGGGTTGCAGTCTCGGGAAGGTACTCCCGCAATGGTCACATGATCGGTGGCGGGCAAGAGCACAACATCTACTACATAGTTGAGTGCCCCGAACAGTTTTTGCTCTGAGGGGCGAAGAGGGGGCGCATCGAAGGACGGTCGAGGTAGGAACGGTAGTCGCGACCGACGTTGTTGAGACGAAAGGGACGGGCAGTATCGCCTTGAAAACCCGTTACGACCTACCATGTAACAACGAGATAATCCATTAGCCCTTTACATTGCTGCTCTCTACCATGGAGGTAGGTACCAAGAAGCGAAACAACTGTAGGAAGCTAAATAGGTTTTTGGGAGCAATCGCGTACGTAGAGAGGTGGACAGCTGTTGTGCTTGCCTTTTTCACCATGACTGCTTGCCTCCCTACCCACCTTAGTCTGCAAGAAGTGCTCCCCGCCGTTTTCCCCGACCTGTTTTATCGCACCCCATCCACCACCCTCAGTAGTCACCCCTCCGAAAACGCCTTGTTGGATTCCTCCTCCGGCCGGGAGATCGGGGTGCTGCCAAGGGTCGTACCCAAAGCGAGGTCGGGGATCCCCCCGGATGTCGTGCAGACGATCCCGTCGCGCAGAGGCATGGGCGGATGAAGCCGCCTGCCGGCCGAGAGAATGGGTAATTGCACTCGCTGTTGCTCATGATGTTGCCCTCGCTTTGTAAGCGTCGCGGGTCTCGTCAATATTTGCGTCACTAGCTGGCATGAGCTACGTCCAAAGGGAGGGACCATTGCAGACAAATTGTTTTAGCCGCCACTCTGTGCCTAAGGCTTCACTGATGCGTTGTCAGCACGAATCGTCAGAGGCCATCTGTAAAATCAAAAGGAGAATAGTTCCAGGGCACCAAAGTGAAGTACATCCAATACCACCCTGCTGCCATATAGGCCTCTGGCGGCACGCAAGAATGGAGTGGACCCTACAATAATCATAAATGAACCTCCGAAAGAGAGACAGCAGGCGTAAAATCAGTTGCCATGAAATCTTCCTTCATGGAAAAAATCAAACAACAATTATCATGGTTGAGAAAAACAGCTAGAGGAGATCCTCTACGAACAACGGACGAACGCCCGATAGTTTTTTCTGCTGCCTTGGCAGTACAACAACGGACGCGGGAGGGGGCGAGGTGCCAGGAGTATCGATCCTACAGTTTTTGTTCATACCTCAAAGTTACGTTTTCCCATGCACGTCTGATCAAATCTCTCGCGACACCGTGACCACAGGAGGCGATAACAACGCACAGAAACATGTATATCGCTTAAGGTACACTCTCTTCAGCGACACCTTTCCTTTTCGCTCTATTACCTCCTTCTTTTCCCTGGTGAGCCTCGTCTCAGCGTGAACCTCCGAGGCAGGGTTTGACGGAGAATCCACGCCTATGGCACCCTCCGGGTAGCGATGCTTCAGGATGAAATCAAGCCTGTTCGAGGGAGAAGGGGCTAAATCTATTGAGCTAGTTTGTTGCTTTTTCGTGATCGTCATAAGATGTGCGGGAGATTACCACGTCACGATCTCCGAAAGTAAGCGAGGGTTGAGCGGGCGGGTTTTCGTCATATGTATGTTGGCGGTTTCCTTTGTTTTGTTTTCGAAGACCAGGCGTCCCATGTAGAGTTGGGGTTACGGTTGGGGGTTCCCGGTTTCCGTTGAAAATATCCCGTTGCTCCTACGGGCGTACAGATTGCCGTCAAATTGAAGGAATTTTGATCACCGAGACCTGGGCATCTGGTGCACAGGACGATGGTTTTCGGTCCAATGGTTGAGCAAGAACACACCCCGAGGCGGCCCATTTAGTCGGTGCGATTCTCTGGTGTGGGTTGAGGGAAATTGTGTCTCTGCGGGTGTGTTATGTTTGCTCTTGCGCAACCCATGGTGGAACGATTATCGGCTCAACAGGTAACTTGAACTTGCCTCCTAGCTCTAGATGTGTTCGCTCGGTCTGGTACATGAGGTACGTAGCAGCCGAGGGGACTACATCGCTGAGTGAGGCAACACGTTCTCGTCGCCCACGCGGGAGCACTGCTGGAGCTCCCACGTCTGAAGAAAACAACCCAAACCACGAAGGCGCGGGACGCGCCGATGTTTCGGGTGTGTCATCAAACCCACGGGATGACTCTGGGACATCGTCGCTAACCTCGTCTTTTGATGCCTCGCTTTCCGGCCTACCCTCTCAGCGTTCTGCATCTTCGTTTCGTAGTCGTTGATCTCCCGACGTTCCTCCGGTGCCAAGAGGGCGCGGTCCCCCTGAGGCCCCGCCCTAACGCAATCCGGTCGTTGTCCGCAGGGCAACACGTGCAACGTTGAGAAAAGCAGTTTTTCTGTGTGGCTGTAACTTCTCCCTTGTCTTCATCTAATTGAAACCGAGGTACACGGCTCGGGCACGAGAACCAGCGTTTCCCCAACGTAGACGCAAGCATGAGAACAAGTGCGTGAGTGTAAAGTGTGCTGGCCAGTTTCAATCGCTGAAAGCATGGACCAAGCGATGAGCTGGAAACAGTGATAGCCTGGCAGCGGTTCCATGATAGCTCATTGGGGAGGGGGCACGGGAGGGTACCGGTGTTCGACCAGCCTCCTGCTCTCTCAGTAAATCAATTTAAACATGTTGACGTCCGGCGAGCAGGCATCGAAGACTCGGTTGTGAAGTAATACATGCAGCTTTGGTGCAGTGCTGGTCAGGGCAGGCCAACCAATAAAATTGTCGCCCACACTCTGTATCCGCTGCATAAAGGTTTAAAACCTATGCGGAGGCACCTGAATGAGCGTTCTTCACCATGTGGACTCCGATTTCCCCGGCGGTATCTAAGGCACGGGGCTCTTTCTCACGGCCAACTGGATTCAAAGAATTCAAAAACGATCACATTCCGCGGCAGAACCGCTGCTCCAGAGCATCAACTCGATTCTAAATTCGTAAAAATCGTTCCTAAAGAAAGATATCTGGTTGTTCTCACCGACTTAGGCACGTAGGAGGGCGGACGGCTTGAACTTTCGGCACGACTGCGAGCGCGGAATCGAAGTACGGTCTCTCCACATTAACGCCTCCCTAAAGCGTAGAAAAACGGGCGAGAAAAGGAGTTCGCCTTGTCCGAAAAATGAGGTTGATTGACCAACCCTTGTCTCGATCGAAACCGGAAGTTCCTCCGAAGATTTCTGACCTGTTCAGATATTTCGCACTGTCGTAGATGGTTAAAGACAATACGGAAACGCGAGAATCTTTCCAGACCGCGAGCAAATCCCCTCGCAAGGAATCTGATTTCGCCTGCCATGATGTGTACCGCCGAAAGAAGACTAACGACATATTTTCTCGACGACGCACCATGTTAACCGACTTGGCTGTGCCGTTCGTAGTATTTGTCGTGAAAAGTCGACGGATACATGGTTCTTTTGGGAGCAATATTCCGTCCTTTCGAGGACGCGTGGTCAATGGTCTAACCGCTAAGTCATGCAAAACATAAGAGTACGCCCCCCCCCCCTTCGTGAGCTCGACAACCACGTTACTGCTTTTGCTTTTTTCGCGGTAACCATAATGGCCGTCGAGTAGATAATGTTGTGGGGTCGAGAACTCGCACTCCGCGCAAAGGGGATGATCGCACCACGTTGTGTTCAAATGGTCAAGCACCCTCCTGGCAGCTACACAGTGCTTATTACTGCTGTCTCTGGAAATGAAAGCACCAGGAAATATATGAAGTCGTACGCAATGAAGCACAGGATGCCGAACACCCTTTCCAGAATGCAGCCCACCCTTCATGCGACTCGTCGAATACCTCACGTTGCTTCGCGCTTGGTGATGTGAGCGCCTGGTCGGGTGAGAACCCGTCGTGCTCCGTCCCGGCTTTGTAGCGATGCGCGGTCAATGGTCTAACGACTACGGCATGCACGACTATGAGTATAAGCACCCCCATCCCCCCCCCCAGAAGCTGCACCCAATACTCGCAAATCGGCACCATGATACACGCATCAAGTTGACGGTTTTGAAGTGCGTAGTCGTACCGCCGATAGAGTACGCCGGAGCAGTACGGGAAGGAAATGTGAAGGTCGTTAAAGAGCTCGACGCAGCGCAGATGAAAGCAGTGAAAACGATCCTGAAATGCTCCAAGCGCACAAGTGATGCAGCCGTCAGGGCAGAACTGGGGATCCGATCCCTACGATCGGGAAGAGACTCAAGAAAGCTATTACGGGAGAGGAGAGGTTGCCGAGAATAGCTTGGGAGGCGAAGTGGGCAAACAAGAAGATAGGTAGACAATACCCGAAAAGGGTCAACGTTATAGCGAGTATCCCATGTGTTGGGAATCAAGCGTCAACCCCGCCGCGTTCCCACAAGCAATGTATCCCTCAGCACGGCAGTCTATTCCCCTGACTGCCGTCTTTCTCACCCCGCATATGGTAGCCCTTCTGAAAGGATTGTCTGGTGCCAACACGCGAGAGGTCTCCTGCTCAACGGTCCACTGTATTCTTCCAGGACCTGTTGCTGGCCGCCCAAATATTCCTCCCGGCGCGTGCCCCTCAAGAACCATCACGCGAGCTCCGGCGCTACCGGCCTACAGGGGGGGGGGGGGGGG